AGTAAGGTAAATATAAAGTAAAATTATACAGGTCGAGGGAAATTTAGCGATAAGTTTTCGCCAATCGATTGATTTGTGAACAATCAAATTTCAAGTATATTCAAAATCAATGAGCCAAGCAATAATATTTAGAAACTGTGCTGCATCGAAAAATCAATCTTGAATTTCATTGAAAAATGACCTTTCAAAAATTTAAGATTTTCATAATTATCCTGAAAAACAAAAGATAATTTGAAAAAAAGGAAAAGAAATATTGGCTCTTGATTTGTAGCTTAAGATAGGACTATCACTGCTTGAACTGCCGTTTTTATGCATGAAAATACAGTTTGTTTAAATACAGAGTATGTCAGGCCTAAAGTAGATCAATAAAAATCATTCAAATGCTGAATCCAAGTTCGGTTTGTTTACACAAGCAACATGAGTAGTCAGCCGTGTCAGTCTGTATAACCAAATTCTCATGAATGATTACTTCACCAATTGCGTATGTTTTTGGCATCTAATGATTCAGTCTAGGAATGTCTCATAAAAATATCGGCATAAACACAATAGTTCAAGTTTAAGATGTTTAAGTTTTAAGATAATTTATGCATGTTTGTATTGAATATGTTGGAAACATCTTAAATGTTGATGTTCCGTCTCAATAGTGTAATATATTCGGGTAACTCTGTCGGGTGGATTTAAATCTTACCGATGGATGCAGCTGATGATGCTGATGGTGAGGCTGAAGATTTTGTGAATGATGGTGGTTAGAAGATTGGTAAGAATAATGATTACCATTCCCTCTTAAGTCATCCTTCTCATGGGTTGATGTTCTTTTACCACCATTGCTACTTGCATTACTGCCATCAGACCGAGGGCGACATTTGGGAAACAATTTTTCAATTATCTCATCGTATCCAGTTTTTTCTTCATTGGTTAAATTGGATGTTAAATCAAGCGAAGTGGTTGACATAAATGAAAATCAAGATATCACAAGATGGCTTGCTCCACAAAAATTAACCATAAGGAGGTTTGATTATAAGATGTGGAAAAAGATATATTTTTCACTTTTCACAATATAACAGGCAATCCAATATTAGTGTGTACCAACTAAAATAAATAAAACACGAAAAATGGTCAATAATGGATGAGGATAAAAGTAAACAATTCAAATAAGTATTTTAATTTCAAGTTCTAATCACAAGTCAACTGAACATTAAAAGCTTCGAATGTATCATTTACAGCTTGAACTGATTTCAACTCATCCCCTTTCGAGCACTTATAACTATTTTACTACAAATAGATGCAGTAGCTACTGAAAAC